AGTGCCATCCTCATCCTGGTCAAAGAGCTGGAAAACACAACATGTAGCAATACTTCAGCATCAGCTTGCCTATGAACCTTCTATGCATGTTAGCAATATGTACTAGGTTTCTAGCATTCAAAAGGTGATCTGCAAACAATGCCTAGGATTCAGAGAGACTGGTTGTCTCAGCCACTTTCTCTTGTTAAACATTTTATGTATTTTCTCTGGAAAAGAGAGACACTTAGCAGACACTCAGCAGAGCAATGTACATGCTATAGTTGGGATTACAACATTCTGCAACAACAAACCAACCTCACAGCCTTAGTTCAGTAACAAACTCATAAAAAACTGATAAAAACAAAACATTAACAAAGGTTTATGTCTACTATGAGCTGTGCTAAGGGTCTACTGGAATCAGCCACCCTATATTGGAACATCTTAAATTTTAGTCTTCATTTTCATTAAGTTCTGGCACATCTACCATCAGATTAAACTTACCATAGTTTATGTTCTCACATAAATGCCTAAATTTTAGTATATGTGATCGGTCACCCACCAAGGAATTATTGTCATTAACAAGGAATTTTGGTGACTGGAAGCACAGGCAGTAGATGTGCATCGATCACCCCATCCTTCCCAGCACAGTGACAGTAAGCATCTGCCGTGAATCAGCCCCTTGAGAAACACGAGGGATGGATGGCTCTAATGCTTAAATACTTGCTACAGGCAAACTTTTCCAAACTTTCCCAAGAAAACAACTAGCAAAAGGAACCTCATAGTTCTAGTTCAGACTTAAACAGGGTTTTACCAGCTGAACCAGTCATTTCCTACTGAAACTGGGAATTCAAACGAATTACTGATTTTATAATCAGCACAACTGGTAAGATACTGGAGTATAGTCTGGAAAACAAAATAATGAGACAGCAACAATAGGTGCTACGCTTGCTTCTTCATGGGACTCTGTGGTGATAAAACACCCCTAAAAAAGCACAAATCACTTGGAACAGCTGTAGTGCTTATCTGTAAAGCAGCCAGTGTATATAATGGATTGCCATAAAAATTCCAGTACTTCCCAAGTACCCATCAGTACCAAAAAGTACTCAAGATGAACGTGATCTGTATCTCCTATATTGTTCAATATAGGTCATAAGAACAGATTACTGGGTAAAGCAACTGAATCTGTATCAAAGATCTACCAAAAAAAAAAAAAAAAAGTCACTTGAGCATTTTCCTGTTCAGGGGAATCACAGCCTGGGCATCCCTGATCACATATTGCCTGCTTGTACCTAAGATTTGTAACAAGCTAGTGCTTCTTAACTGCTGTACTATCACCACACCACAGTTCAAGCCAGTAGATCTTAGATGCAGCCCAATTTTTTTCGATGTGCCAGTCCCCAATAGCTCTTCTTGGCTTTTCCAGCCCCCTCCTCTTTATTAACAGTGACTCTACTGAGCACTTGACCGACAAGAGGATATTGCTCCATCTATTGTCTACTTGTGACACTGAAGAATCACAGTAGAAAAAACCTCAGGCGAAAGAACTGCAAGTGCTGCTGAATCATTTTTGGAGTTAGCCTGCCAAGTTACATATTCATTAGTGCCTTCACATGGCTTTTGAAACCCTTTTCCATGATGCTGGCAATTCCCTCCTTCCCCTTCACACTCTAAATGTCAATTGGTTTAAGAGTATTACTCACATTTGCATAACAGATTGAAGCTATAAACTTGTGATTTGAAAGCTAACAGATTTACAGTCAGTCTTGATTTGTCAGGTTTGTAGATTTACACTAAATTGAACTTACCTTAAATGCCATCCGAATAGTCTCTTCTGTGTTGGCTGGGTTACACAGAATGGACAAACCAATTACATATTCTCTGAAGTCAATGGTGCCATCTCCATTCTGTATGCAAACACACACATGGCAGTAGCTACAGTTAATACTGCAGATCACTTTAACAGCTGTTGTATAAATCAGCTATACAACTTCCGTTAAAACAGTTTACAGCACTAGAGGTATTGGCTCTTCCCAGAAAAAAATACTAAGAGATTGCTAAATGTATGTAATACAAAGGTTGAACTAGCAATGTTACAGTATTTTCAATAGCTATAAATTTGGTCTCCGTTTCTCTTGTAAACACCCAAACAAAAGAGATCTAAAACAACTTACACATTTTTTCTCTAGTATATGATCTCCAAGAAGCCTCCAGTAAGAACTGGAATACATGGGTTTAGGGTAACTAACAACTGTTGTAGCTCTGCATTGCTCACAGGCCAATGCAACATCCTAGAACATGTCAACAGTGAGGCTGTTGCCTTAATTCTTCCTAAGAACCTTCAGTAATAAAACATATGCTAGTGGAAGTACAGCCTGATGATGCAGTACCTCTACATGGACTATCTTAAGCCTTTCTTTGAAACAAATGTGTTGCCCTACATGCTATCTTGAAGTGAATACACTATCCTTCCTTTTGAGCCATAAATGCAACAAATTCACTGTAACAGTCTCCCTGGAAGGTTCAGTTTAGATCTGAACAAACATTTCACTACAAAGTTACATCAACAAAACATCTGAAATTTGCCTTGATATGGGATTTGTGACCAGTTTTTCTATGTAAACTGTGTTATACTTGTGGATAGGGAAAATGGCAGAGGCTTGTTGAAATATATGCTTAAGTCAGTAGTGTTCCTCTGACCACACGGAGTTTCTTTGGGAAAACACCTTGTGTTTTGGGAAACATCATGTGTCCGGGGAAGAGACATCTCTAAGTGTTAGGTGATGGGACACAGAGTAGTTAATGAAAGCACAGCAGAGATGACTAGCAGCTCATAGGTTGGAACATTCACAAAAAGGGGTATGCATCAAAACCATTTTAAAAGCAAACAAAAGCGTGAAGCAGAACTCCCTTTGTGGATAATGTGCTGTACATTTCAAGAAAACAAGATTTACAAAGTAGACTCTGAGAACAGCACAAAACCTTTTCATCCACATGAGAGAAGGGTGGTCTCCTGGGTAAATCTGTAGTGAACAGCCAGATCTAGATTCTATTCCTGGCTCTTCTACCAACTTCTTATGCCCAATTGAGCGTACCAATCTTAACCTTTTTGTTCCCGGTTTTCTGCTGTTGAATAGTGGAATATGGAGCTTGCCTGTGGAGAAACGCTGCTCTGTGGAGCACTTTGATAACCTTGGGTTCCATGAAATGGGATTTCTGTTACTGAATTCAGGTTTTAAGGTAGTTCTTGATTAACAAAATATGTGTAATAATATGCTCAGTACTAACTTTTATCAAGCTATATGTCTGACAGGATACAAAACTGCTAAAATACACTTTTATGTAGCCTTCTAATCCAACTCAGGACTCTTCTGCACAGACAACTGTTGCACCTCCTTTGAAGACACACAACCTTTGAGAATCTTCTACTTCAAAAACCTGTATATTTTAGGGAAACTTTTTAGCAAAGATATGAATAGTCTCTAAGTTATTTCTATGTATGTCTAAAAGATGTAACTTTTGATAGTTTTTAATCACTAAAAAAGGACAATGTTCTCTCATAAATGCTGTTTTATTTACAAATGTTGTACTCTCATTGTGCTGCAGAGCTTGACTTTAAATATTCTGGCTACTTCACAGTTCTCATAATGTAGATAATAGATCAAACCTTAAAAACTATCATTATAAACCTAAACTCTTAAAGCAACTGAGACAAGAGTGTAGATAATAATTGTTCCATGCAGTATTAGTTTTGGACAGTTTTGTAGACTGTATTCTTAGCAAAGGATTGTTTGATGCAATTACGATTTTTTTTTTAATTTATTTTTAAAGTTAAGAATATGTATCACAGGAAAAGAACTGGGAAGTAAGCTTTAACTAAAACAGTCCCATTAAAAACAGCTGCTGAAGTAAGTTAACACAGCTGAGGCTGCACAAGGAAAAATGACAAGAGCTAATAAGGGTCATATTACTTTAATTAATGTGCTAAAACTGAGTAATCAAAACTGAGCGCAAACTGATATGCAGAACTCCAGCCATTTGAGTAGGAAATCAAGCTACTATACTTGCAAGATCATGTTGTGACTAGCTCTACTAAGCCCTAGAATCACTAGCCAACTTCCAAATGCTCTGGCATGTTGGCTAACGAGAAATGATAGGGTTGTTGTCTGGAAAAAGAGATGGGAGTTAAACTGAAAATGCAGGAAAACCTTCAGTGTTTGCGTAGCATCACTGCAAACGGACTTGCAGTAGTCTTTTTACAGGTATCTAGCTGTGTTTGCAGCCTGTGCAAATAGTTAAATATTTTAAGGAAGCAATGCATGAGCTGAGCTCCAATTCTCTAAATAGCAAAGCAGAACAACAATATTTAGATACTTGTATTTATGTTTCATAAAATAACTGAAAGAGTGTAACCTCAACAAGCCCTGTTTTCTTTACAGAAACTAGTTTTCTGCTACTATTTTCAATATGGCATGCTATGGTAACTAGGGTTTTGTTGTTTTACACAATACAGTAAATCTTACATTTTGGGAAACAAGAAAGTTTACATTGTCATAAGCAGTCTTATTTGGAGTTGCAAAAGGGTTGCAAGACAAATGCAAGACAAATAAAGTTTAAAGTACTACTGCCACAGATCTTTTTTCTCACTATGTAAGCCAATAGGAAAAATCAAGTGTGCAAGTCTGCATGCTATTTAGCTAAGTAAACCCTGAGTAACTTACACAGCTAGTACAGAGAACCTACAACTGGACCATCTGGGGAGGGACTGCAGATGCACCTCTCGTACTCATACCCAGGCTCATCATGCAATAGCCTATTGCTGTAACTCCAAAATTTCCACTGCCTGTTGCAAGTTCTAACTGGTCAGAAAGAGCACCTCTGAAACAAACCTGGTAGGTTGGTGCTCACATGGAGGTACCGCACTTTCCCTTGTGCTCACTTTTCTCTTACTCAGAGCCCAAATACCACTGTGGACAACTGTGTTTTTTCCACTGAATAACTGGGAGAAGGGTGAATGTCTGACCTCTTTCATCTCAAGAACTAATAAGGGTCATACTACTTCCATTAAAGTGCTAAATTTGGGCCAATACGAGTATTTTTACTCTTTCTGTCACCCAGCTTGGTATTAAACAAAATGCAGGAGGAAAAAAGTCTGAGCAAAAGTCGTAAGTTACTTTTTCTTAAGTTGCAAGCAAAAGGCTTCTGCATGTATAGCAGGGAGGAGATCTCATCAGTTTGGAAAATAGTATTTGCCAAGTGTAACTGCAGAATGTAGAAATCAAAGCTACAGAAATTTAGAAACAAACCCAAACCACAACACATTTGTTAGCATTCAGATGCCCTGCAGGTATTGTGTGGGATTTCTCGATTAGTCACTGATGTTTCCCTAGGGAGGGGCAGGGGTGTGTGGATTCTGACAACTACAGACTGCCTGTGGTGCTACTAAACTCATCCTTGCACATTCCAGTCAGCTAGCACGTACCTTAAACCATTTTCCTGTAAAGCAGCAAAGCCCTGCTGAGAAACTGCCTTGTTAAAAGGCTGTCTTCATCAACCATGTAATCCTTACTGCAAAGAAATGAACCTTTGACAGTTCAAGTTATTCTGTTTTCTTTTACTCAAAAGTTGACAGAACTACATAACTAGCTTGAGTGGGATGCTGCACCCTGATAAAATCTAACTCAGCCAGAGGCTGATTTTGGCTGGCTCCCTGCTATGTGACTGCATTATTACAGCAAACTCCTCTAAATATAAATGTAGTATTTTAAGTTGTTCTTATAACTATAATAAGGCTTAAAGGAAAAAAAGAAAAGACTAGTTAATAGAACTGTAGAAAGGAGAAAAAGGTTATAGAAGGAGCCTTCTGTAAGTCTTCAGATCTGTCTTGGCCTGAAGGTAGAACTGACAATACCACTCAGGTTTTGCTGCAGCAGACAAGCATCAAAAAGGAGAAGCAGGAAGGAAATTAAATATGATTATGTAAATTCATCATAGTTATTGCAATTCTCATGTTTTTCCCCTTGTTGGAAATAACTGAGCAACTCTCTTTACTGGTGATTGCCTTTAGGCAAACAGAGCTTTATTCTGGCTTAGCAAATGCTGAAGAGTTGGAACAGTAACATCAACACCAAACTTCCGAGCTTTTAGGTAATAGTTATACTCACATACAAGCCACTTTAAATGAATAACTAAGCTTTGATCCTTCCACATATTCCCACACTTCAGAATCTAGGTTTTCTGAGACATGCAGCTGTTCAACTGATAACTAACCCAAACCCTTCAGAAAAGCAGATTAATGCATGCAGAAGAGGAACCACAACACTTTGAGCTATCTGCCACAAGCTACATCTGCCTTAGAACAAGGAAAAGACTATAGTTCTATAGTAGAGGATTGTAGTCTTCTGTATGTATCTTCCAGACAAAGCTTTTCCTCTCTAGTACACCTTCACGAATACATGGTCAGCTCTAGCCAGTCTTCAATGGTCACTTTAATCTGTCCTTCTCCATCTCGGTCCAGGGACTTGAAGGTCCGGAACATGCTGTCCAGTCGTACCAAGCAGCTAATGAAGTTGTTAAAGTCCATGCTGCTGTGCTCGTCAGCATACCTGCGTATGATCACTTGGCAAAGCTGCTCATTCAGGTGGAACCCTGCAGCCTTCAAGGCACCTGGCAGCTGAGCTCTGCCAACAGTGCCTGATTGATCAGTATGATACTGCTTGTAAACACACTGCCATTTCTTGATGTTGTTCCACAGATACTTAAACTCTTCAAAGCCCAGTTTGCCATTTGTATCGTTGTCCATGACAGCTACCATGCTACGGCATGTGTCCAAGCTGAAGCCATCTGTTTTCAAGTCTTGATGTCTGGAAACGACTTTGTTCAGGATGTCCCTTAGCTCAGTGGCACACACTTCCATATCATCTCCAGCAAGCTGGACAAAGAGGAGACGAAACTGTCTGATCTCCTCATTCTCGTAAGCTTCCACATTCGTAAAATGATTGTGTGGAGGTGGAGGTGGCTCCGGATTATACTGAGCTGCTGCTTCTCTTACAAGATTGACAAGACCTCCAACAAGTCCTCCAAGATTCCTTCCATGACCACCTCCTGTCAGGAGACCTCCAAGGCCATGTGCAAGGCTCCCTCCATGACCACTACCACTTCCTCCGCTCAGCAAAGCTTTAGCAAGGAACATCGTGAAGACTTCTTGGAGTTACTGAGACCCAGCGTTTCTGTAATGCTCCGAAGCTGTATTGTGTCTGAGATGTAGGCGTAGGCAAACCACAGTTTATCTGCATGCTTAAACTTCACCGTGTCTGTGCATGTCAACAGCTGTGCCAAAGTTCTCTAAGGTCTCTGTAGTTTCTGTCAGTTGTTGACACGCCTCTGTTTCTTTTCTTCTGTGCATAATTAACTTTATATGATTTGAAGAATCGTTGTGGAAAAAAGCCCAACGAGGCTTAAAATCATAGAGCAGAAGCCTCAAAATACCTGTGTTCATAAATGAAGCAATTTGAAAAGAGCCGTGTCACGTTAATGTGACTGTTCGTCAGTAAAGCTGATCTTAAAAATGAATGCAGTGAAAGCTACTAGTCTTGTCAGTTCTTGCTGTCTTTTACACCTTCAATTTTTTAATGAATTGAGCATTACATTGCCAATTCTAGTTACTGTCACTGTTGTGCCACATAGGGAAAGTCAAAGGAGTCTTGCTTGCCCTTAATTATTTTGGTTGCCACATCATGTCTCTATTTTATGTACCGTGCTTCAGGACTTGGACTACATGTTCACAGGAGCCAATGGTCCAAGATGTGGAGGCAAGAATAAAGAAAGGATGAATACCTAGCTCTTCTAGAACTTCAAATGCATTCAGCAATGAAGGAAATGCATTTGGCTCCCTCTATTTTTGAGCTTCTAGAACCTTTCTATCTGGAAAACTCCCAAACCAGTTCTTATTGGCATATACACAGGAAAGACCTACCAGGGATGGGTGTGCTGCTAAAGCTAACTTGATCACAAGGAGTGACACTGAGCTGAGATCTCCTACGATAAGAAATGAACTCTAGTTCATCAGCACCTGTAGCACAACATGCTGCTTGCACTGTAGTACATAATGGGTGCCTAGAAGCAAGATGAATTCTGTGCTGTGCTCTACTCACTGATGCTTCTGGTTTAGTCAGAGTGGCACATCCACAGAACAATTTGTCTCATCTTCAGGGAGAAGTATAAAATGAGAAATCACCACTATGGGGGAAAGCCTAAATGATCAAATTAACATGTAGCCTCCTTTATGGCTGGAGATTGGCAAGAGGAGACCTTACAATGTCTAACAGCACCCTTCACAAACACATATGCAAGAACACACACTCTAGTCAGCTTCGTCTGCCTTAAATTTTCTACTTACAACTACATCAGTTAATTAGGCTGTCAGAGTGTACATAAATTCAAAATCTGGGGGAGGCAAAAGGAAATACTCAGCCATTACCAGCATGAAGATTACCATGGTGGCATGGTGTGGCAACCTGGTCCAAGAGATGGCTGTCATCTTGCAAGCTACAAACTGATAATCCTTTCTCCATCGAAACTTAAGATAGAAAGTGCAGAGTCACCTATCTTGCCTACAGGAATTGCTAACCAAGAAGCATTCACTAAGTTGGACACAATGAATTAAACATCCTTCTGGGAGGTGATTTTTAGCAAAACATTGTCAACATGCAAGTTAACCAACTACTCACCCTGTCAAAAAGTAGAAACAACTCTCTGAGGACATCTGAAATAGGTAGCTTCAAGTACTTTGCAAACTCCTCAATTCCAATTCTTCCCCCTTTGGAAGCACTTGCAATAGCAGCAAAGGTATCCAACTGCTCTCTGACACGATTCCATTGTAAGCTATGCAAACATGAGGGAGAGGAGGTATTTCTATACAGCAGATCTTGGACAGATGGGATTTCAGTAGGAGTTATTACAGTGTTCAATCATGAAAAATAGCCAAACAGATCATCCTGTGTGCTTCCAAGCTGACATTTAACATGAAATCAGCAAGTAAGGACTGCTTCCCCCAGTTACTAATATTAAAAGCTGGCAGTTCTATGCTTGGGTAGAGATTCGCTGCACACATCATATTTGACCACAGCCATGCCAGTTTGTTTGATGGTGTTAGTGTATGATTAAGCAGCTTGGTCCTCAAATTCCACTCTGTCCAGACAGAAGAAGTTGACACTACTAGCAAAACACAGCTGCACAGTACAATTAAGAATCTTAACTCCTGGCTGATATCTCAGTCTGGAAAGAAGTTTTTTTACTTCCTACAACACACTGCCTGTGCATCTCCACTAAAGCTATTTAAACTGGGCACCAAGATAATTATCAAGTGCCTAAAATAGGTACTGCTCTACCTTCCTCGCCTTTTGGCGAGATAAATCCATAAAAGATTAGAGAAATGAATTTTTCCTCTTGTGACACTGCCCACAAAAATTACTTGGGATTAGTTCTTACTGGGATTTTTCTCATCTCTGACTTCCATATAGTTTATGTATGCAAACTGTATACATAAATACACTATATTACGTGTGGCCAAGTCAGGTATCAGGTAATGAATTCTTTTGTAGGTGGCCATCTACACCCTCAGCACTGCAGTAATTATGCTACCAACAGCTACACTTCCCTTACTGGAGTTTCTTGCTGATTTTGGTGAACTCCACCAGCCCAGCTTCCATGGGTAAAGTCAGCTGTCCTGCTGAAATCATCAGTCGGCAATCTTCAAAAGTGTGATCAGTGACTGGCACATTCAAAGCACTGAAACAGAATTAAAACGAAGATTAACTTCTTATATTAAAATGACCTTTAGTTGACTGCTTCCCTTCTCTGTCTCAGTTTGGCTTTAATGCTAACATACAAAACAAATGATAGTTCATTCTTGCACCGTTGCAAGTAGGATAAAGGAATATACACCATTTTGTTAAACCATACTATGAACTAATTATGGCAGTGTCATGATTTACAGTTTTGTAAATGCACCCCAGTAACCTTGGAGAACAAACCACCCATTTACTCTTGCCGAGCAAATAAGGGAGAAGTTTATTCCAGCTTTCCAGGAATTGGATATGTTTCAACGTGAGATAACTTTCTTTACGCCCCATGTAAAAATAACCAGTGTTTTAGTATAGGAATTTTGACTTCTCTGTGGAAATCTAGAGTAATTCCCATAAATGGTACCTGGGGCTTGAACAGATTTGTACTTTATGGCTAGGATATATGTGGAATTGCTGGATATAAAATAAAAATTCTCACAGATTTCATTCAGGACTGATTACATACGTTGCCATGGTTTGTCGGACTCTGTTGGCAAAAAGGATGGGATCATTCTTTTCTTCCTCAGTAGGAACATGAACAGGCAGAAACTGAAAGGGATGAGTTATACAATGAATTAAATACTCACCAATTTATTAGCAACATTAACAATTTCTTGCTAGTCTTTGGAATAGGGGAAAAACGGGAGAAAAAAAATAGCCATGCAATGAAGGAACTGGACACTAGAGGTCTCAACTGCCCTAGAAACCACTCTGGCTCTTCTGCCCATGCCACGCAAGTGAGATTTAGTCCAAGACTACCTCTTAAAGGCTGGTAGAAGCTGCTTTAATATGAAAAATCAAACCCCCAAAGAAGGAAGGTATAATAAATGCATTCTTAGTTATAAAATTAAATGCTACAATAGTAAGAATGTGGGATTGAAATACTGTACACTCCTTTTCAAAGGTCCTTTATAAGTGATGTTGTATACTGGAACAGCGCATGTAAGATTTTAAATGTTTTTAAATACACATTGCATTCCCACCTCGTACATGTTAATTGTACCTGTTAGCATGTGACTGCTAAGTTTCCTTCAAGTTTTTCCTCCATGCTAAAATGTTAAGAAGTCTCAGTTCTGACCCCAAAGTGGATATAGCACTGTGAAGTTCTGGAACTCTAAGGAAAGAGTCAAAACCCCCAGCAAAACAACCCTTTCTTCTCCCAAACCTACAAAACACATAGATATCTAAATGGCAACGAGATTACTGTTGAGTATTTATTCATTGTTAACATGTAGACATTTAAGTAGTTTTAGACTACAAATGTACTATAGATTGTTATTATCTTACATGGCATGAAGCAGCTTCTGTTTTTTTTGCAAAGCAGCGTAGGTGGAGGAAGTTCTTTCTACTTCAGTCCACAGCGTGTGCTTACAGTTCTGTTTACCACGTCTTCTCGCAGTTACGGTTATTATACATCTGAGCTCTGCTACTCCCCACCCTGCAATCTTGCCTTCAGCACAGCAATTCGAGGCAAAGTATAAGGCGCTACTCATGGTTCACTGGAAGACACAGCTGCTCATTATGTATTAATATGTTTCTTCAGTTATATTGCAATTGCTGGTGACACACTAATACAGTGGTAACTGTCCCATGTAAGTGCAGTCCATCCTCAACACTTTTTTAATGTTTGTTTTTAAGGAATGATGCCTCTTTATGATTAAATACAGTAAAAGTTTATGGAATCGGTTATATGTCAAATAGCCAAATTTCTGTTTATAGCTAAAAGCTGTCCCCCCTGTAAGGACATCAGGGATCCAGCTATTCACATGGAGGTCTGAGATTTCATTCCTCCTATAAGGAGTTGCCAGATCTGTTCAAGGTCTGATGTATGTCCCTGCTCCCTGCTTATTACAACTTCCCTCAGAAGCCACATAACTTTTAAATTGAGGAATCATGGGCACACTGTACAGACACAGAAAACTGTGTCATCACTGGGTGAGATGAAGTTACAACTTTGGGAACTTTATCTATGCAAACATGGGTCATGGTCTTGAAAGAGCTCATTACATTCTGAGGCTGAGGTCCTGCTCAGACAGCAACCTAAATTTCTGACAGGTTAAACAACACCACTATACCCTTCAAAAAAACCACCTACAATTATTCAGAAAACCAGTTCCCCAGAAACCACTGCTGGGGATGAAGAATTTGGTTTCTTGGCCTCCTGAGGTGGAACAGATGATCCCACACCCCACCAGCTGCTTGTCTGGTGAAGACGAGTAGTATACTTCCCCTGGCAAGGTGCATTCTTGCAAGGGAAGTTTTACATGGCTCTTCCAGTAGCAAAATTACTTCTCTGATCAGGTTTTCAGCTAGTCTCTCTTCTTACAGAATTTGCCAAAGGCTGTATCTTTTGCAGCCCTAAAACTCGCTGTCAGGTTCACTGTTTAACCTTCAGTACCCTCAGTTTGTTAGAATATGGCTAGACATGCACACACATGGACTAGGGGTGTACCTCACTGATCATGCACTGCAGGTAGAGGCAGCGCCAGACTGATGGGAGTGGAGAGGCTACTTGCTCACATTATGGGACAGCAACAGAAATGGACACTCCTAAAAGAAGTAGTTTGATTCCTTTCTTTCCCAGGCAAAACCACCCCTTCTTTTTTTACAAATGGAAGAATGCCTGCATTGATGCTAAGAAATTAGTTCCACTTTGGGGTTGCTGCTGTGAAAGCTGCATATTTTTCATATTTCAGTTTCATCTTTTGGAACATGAAATTTGCTTTTTAACAGGCAAGTCTGAGTTCTGTTCTGAAGTAGGGGAAAATAAACCTCTACTGGAAGGGCTACTTTAACTTTCTTTCTTCCCACATATACAAATTTGATAAATATGTCCTTCTATACAAAATAATTAGGAGGATTAGCTCTTTTGTACACCTGCTAAAAATATGTGACCACTGCATGTACTGTTCAGCAACAAGATGCTTCCTTAAAATGAATTTCATTGTTTCACAACAAAGACCATATTGCTGTTAATAGCAACACTGCTTGTATTTACAAAGCTTTGCACAACTTTGCTAAATTCTGTGTTTTGCAAATAAACAGCAGCACCTGCCCGAATGCCTCCCACTCCTTGGATCCCTAAACCAAGTTAGTCCACACTGACAATCGTTTGTGGTCTAGTCAGGAATGTGAAGTACAACACTTACACAACCCGGTAGCACCTTGGTTATCTGGCTCCTCACTACTGTGTTTCAAATGTCAACTTGTTGACAGGGAGCAGTTAAGAGTAAACTCACTGATATGAAGGGTGTATGTTTCACTTATCATTCATCTTTCTCTGTGCTATGCATCCAATTCTAATGATCAAGGGAACCAGTTCATTATACAAGCTCAGAACAAGTACTAGTCCTTAAGTAAGGTGTTAGCAGGGAAACCATTTAGAGTTCAGTCTAGAAAGATGATGAGAAAGACAAGGAGATTTTGAAGGAAGCAGGGAAATGAGATGGTGGGAAAAATAAGGTGTTACCTCTAACAGAACGTTTTCTAATTCTTACTTTTAACATCCATGAAATGCATGTGGTGATAATTAGCAGTGATTTTACAATGCCTTAAGAATAAAGGCATTTATGACAGATTTCTTTTAGGAACTCATCAGATTAAGTGATACACAGATATGGACAAGAAATCTAAATATATTATTGTGACTCTGTTCTTTTTTCTGAGACATGTGTTGCTCACTAGCAGGTATTAATAATGTAAATAATGCATTTATATTAAAACACAAATTTCATGGTTTCTGAATATTAGTACAAAACCATTTCTAACTCTTACCTCAACTTCTACTTTTGTGAAGAGCTGACACAGTGTCATTACACACAGCTCTTTTCTGCAGGCAAAGAGAAAAATGAAGAAAAATACATTTTACTTTT